GCGGGCCGCGCGTTTGGTAGAGTCCGGGCCGTACCCTCGGCTCGACTGCGCCTTCGCGCGGCCCTCCGCCCCTCGGCGCTCCCCCCGCGCGCCCGCGCAGTGGTACGGGCCGGCGCTGCCGGAACTGGAGGAGCCGTTTCCCTGGAAACCGAGTTCTTCCTATTCTCGCCGCCCCTGCTTTTTAACCCTGTAGGCGCCGTTTGAGAGCAGCTGTCAGCCTAGCGCTTCCCCACCCGTCTGCTTTTCACCCCGTAGCCCGCTGTTGAGCCGTTCCCTTTCTGGGCTATGCCCCAAGCCTGTTCCTTCTCTTTTTCTCTGCTGCTGACGTCTGCACAGTCTTTTCCCATAGTTTCCTCCTACAATTCCTGACCCTTGCTTTACACCCTTCTCCTTTTATTATGCTTACCAGACCCTCCTCCCAGTAGTAGTACTCAATAATCGTCACCCCAACTCTCCTTCCTTTTTTTACTGTCCCTAATGCCCCTTAACACGTCTCTGTTATCACACCCCAGTTCTCCCCAGTGAGGCTGTTTCCTACGATTCCTTTCTCTCCAGTCTTGTGTCTTATATTACGGAGAAACTCGGCTTTATTCATTCATACCTTAGCTTGACACTGAGCCTCTCCAGTCCTCATTCTAGAATTATCCATTACTACTTCCTCCTAGCATCTTCTGGTTGTTTCCAGACAGCGCTGTGAGTACTTTATACCTCAAAACTTGCCTCCACTTCCGCGCTTCGCTGCTGAACTGTGGACTGTCGGAGCGCCGCCCTGATGCCCTCGCAGCTCCTTAGCCTGCTTTGCACTTACAAGGGCAGCCTTCCCTACGCCTCGTTTTATGATCTTTTTCTTTCTCATCAGCCTCTTAGAGTATATATAAATTGTATGGCCCAAGTGTGCTGATAGTCAATATATTTGTATGTGCTAATACAAATTTACATTTTTATAAAATAGAATGACAATTGGACTTGGTTTAAGGTGTTCCAGCCAATATCTGTTGGTTTATCAACTGTTTTATGGAACCAGGGCAATGTTCCATTCTGGAATGTGGCTCCTGGGTCTTAAATGCCCACACAGAGGATAGGATTTCAGAGTTTCATTTTAACTGCCCCCAAACCAAGAGTTTTTGGATCAGGGAAAATGACCCTCCTTAATTTTATTGAATTTATGGGTCCACAAAACTAGATACAAGACAACCTGATTTGTCTATCAGAAAAGGAAAATGTTTCATTGACTCTTTGAGGACCTGAACAAGATTTTGATTCCATGTTAATTTCCGTATTAAGTATATGAGATTGTAGAGAGCAATACTAGACCAAATGCATAAAGATTCACTAGTAGGCATAATACATTTTAGACCCTCACCCACCTCTCGTGTTCCTAAACCAGGAAATGCAGAAGCAAAAATTCTTACAAGTTTCCTCCCTGACCCACGTTACACGTGGTGTGAGGCCCATAGATTTTTATAACCTTCCTGAAGTAACAGGCTGTTCTGTTAGTCATCCAGATGATGCCAGATGCGCTGTGGCAATAAGTGTCACAATTCTGGGGCATACCTGGGCCTATACTCTTCTCCTGGAGTGTACCTAGGCTTGTATTTGTCTCAGTCACTTCTGTCTAAACTTTTACCTTAGACTCTACGTGAAACTCACTTTTTTTGTTGTTCTTCTGTGGATGTAGATGTGTTTGTGTTGATGTCAGAGTCTTAATCCAAAACACCTTAATCCGGTTTAACACATGGGAGGTTGGGAGGGTTTATGGGGTGGGGGGCCTGACCTAAGGAGAAGGAGCCTAGTGGGTTTCCTCCTCTAGATGGGCCATTCCTCTCAAGTCTTCGGAGTTGTTCAGAGGTGCCTGGAAATACTTTCTCAAGAAGTTGGCCACCTGGTCCTAGTTCTAGCAAAACTTTTTCTTGAGTTGAAGTCTAGAATTTTATTAACACAGAGCCTTTTATTTAAGGCATTCAAACATATATTCTAAAGATTTTCGGCAATATGATTATTTTCGTGTTCAGTAAATAGGAAAAGGAGTTGGGGCCAGCCCCGTGGCGTAGCAGTTAAGTGCCGCGCGCTCTGCTGCTCGCGGCCTGGGTTCGGATCCCAGGCGCGCACCGACGCACCGCTTGTCAAGCCATGCTGTGGCGGCGTCCCATATAAAGTAGAGGAAGATGGGCACGGATATTAGCCCAGGGCCAGTCTTCCTCAGCCAAAAAAGAGGCAGCTTGGCATGGATGTTAGCTCAGGGCTGATCTTCCTCACAAAAAAAAAAAAAAAAAAAAAAAAATCCTAAACAGAAATATAAACTCTTCTAAGAAGAAAAGTCAAGGACCATTTAAATAAAGATTTATTTAGTAGAGTCCTACTAGAAAATTTTTCTTAATTTTCCTCAGGAGGTTTATATTATGCAGATCCACACCGGAAAAATCACCCTAGTTAGGCCAGCTATAAACTACACGATGGATGATAACTTTGGCCGTATGATCTCGGAACATAAATTTACACTTGATGGTTAATATCTGTCTTCTCACCAAGTCACAATTTGTTTCTAGCTGTCTCATATGATGAGGAAACTCAAGCCAGACGAAATCTAAGGGAAAGGTTACTCTGTACCGAACAGAACACCTGCTTGCCAACAGCTGTGTGGCAGTCCAGCAGCCTCTGTTACTAACTAGCACTAAATCTTCCGTAATGCTTTTAATCTCTATGGGCCTGAGTTTCCTCGTATTTAATATGCTTTCTAAGGTTTATTTCAACTTTAAAAATTTCTATGGTGCTCTCCCTAGTAGAAGTAAATAACCAAATTAGAAAATAAAAGAGTGCATTTGAAAATGTATATAAATTAAGACTATAGAGCCTATATTAAAGGTGAAATACTGAGACTTTTATTTATTAACTTGTAAAGTTGAAATTAGAAAAGTGTTAAATTTAAAGAATGCCTAAAACCAGCAATATTATTACAAATGTAGACTCTAAGAAAATACGATATAATGACTCTGATAGCATTTGGGAGGGGGAAAGGTCAGAAACCCTTTTAATAAATGAGGTTAAAAACATGAGAAATATTTTTGATAAAACAACAGAAATTTAGCAGGAGATCCTCAGTTTTTATTATATTCTTATTTATTTTTATTTTTATCTATGTATACATTTTATTATTATCAAATGTGAGAATACTATACCCATTGTTTTGCACCATACATTTTTCACTACAAAATGTACCTTGGAGATAGTTCCTGATCAGCACATCTTATCACCTCCTTCTGGACAACTGTATGGTACTCCATTGTATTGACTTGTGATTAGTTTTTAGTCAGTTCCATATTTATAGACTTTATATTGTTTCCAACCTTTTTTTTTAAGAACATTTTTTTTTAATAAGTTTTGTAATTTTATTTATTTATTTATTTTTTCCCCCAAAGCCCCAGTAGATAGTTGTATGTCATAGTTGCACATCCTTCTAGTTGCTGTAT